TTTTCCCTATAATGAATAAGGAGTGGCATGTTGAAAGAATCGTTTTATTTATGACTATTCCTTGAGGAGTTTGTTAATTCAAACATAAATAAATAAAAGTGAATGAATAAAACAATTTTAATCATATATATAATATAATTTTCTAATAAAAAAATTCAAATATATCCTTTATCATACGATTGAACCTTAACTTTGCCTATAAACTATATAAACCCACTAGCTAGATTAGGTCCTAATTACTAGAGATTCACGTTATTTTAAAATATTATTTTTTATGTCATATTTCGACCTTTGGATACATGTATCATTACTCGACAGATACATGTATCCGACGATAATTTTTTTTGAGATATATGTATTATTAATTTTGAATTAATTGTGTAATTATTATCCTTAATTAAAGGAGTAATTGATTATTAATTTAGAACTCTAACAGATTTACATGTTCCCTAGTGTATCAACTCTAACAAATCTTCCTAAAATAATAAAATCATAAAACTAAAATAATTCTCTAATTGAAAACTTTATCTTCTTGTTTGCAATCCTTTTTTCCTTCTTCTTGCAGTTGTGAGTTTGTTTCACAATGATGAATATCACCATATTGTTGAGGCATTTAGATTTATGGATTTCAGATATTGATTACGAAAATTATAAAATCGATGGAATATTATTAAAACATAATGTATTTTAATATTAATGTTTGTACCTTTATTAAAATCATTCGACTTTTTGAATGGTCGAACATGAGAGAACAAATAACAACAAAATCATACAATATAGGACCTAGGACCTAATTGTAAAACTTTTTAAAATTGAAATTTAAAATGATATAAGCTCTATCATATATATATATATATATATATATATATATATATAAGAACATTACCCGAGATACATGATACAAATGAAACAAAAGTTACAAAGAAAAAAAGGAAGAGAGAGAGAGAGATGTTGAAAGTGGTGGAAGACGTGGGGTGGGGGGTGGAGGGATGAGAGATACTGATGGGATTAGGAAATAGAAACGGCCTATGAGATATAAACAATTCAAATTATTAATTTATCATTAATTTAGGTGTTTAAATATAAAGTTAATTAATCAGTTTATTTTTGAGAAATTTGAGTACATGATTATATCTTTTAGAATATATGGTATAAAATATAAAAAATAACAATATAAATATTGTTTTTAACTAGAGATAAAATTAGTATATATGGTAGAAATATCTATTTAATTAGGTAGTTTGCTCTTATAATAATATATCTAATTTCATAAATGTAATCTAAAAAATCGAGCCTATACAGATCTTACTTTTACTTTGAACATAAGAAAGTCATTTTGATAGACAATTAATGATAAAACGAAACCATAAATTAGGAATCTAGAAGTAAACTGCATGGACCTTTCTAAGGTAGTGAGTGATGACATAGCCAGAGTCTTTTTTTTCTTTTCTTTTTTTCTAATTTATGTGATAAAAATTAAAATAAATTACAAATTTTTATATTTAAAAATATACAATTTAAATTTTATTTGATCGTGACAATTTTTTGTAATCACATGATTGCTAATTTGTTATATACATATTTCAGACCTTTCAAAATTCTTATTGCTACATATAAATATCACCCCCCCCCCCCCGCCGCCCCAACCCCCTGTCCTTTTTAAGTCGTTTTCTAGCCAATTAAACAATAGTACAAGATGTGTCGTTCTCAAAATTAAGAAAAGTATTTTTCCCAACTTAGTCTTGCTATAATAAATTATGACAACAACTTTTCAGAAGGTTATTCATTCTTTTTTTTTTCCCTTTTTAAGGAGTGTAGTATATCGTTGAATTAGGAGTGTTTTTTTAAGACAAAAGTAAAGTGCCGCGTGGTAAAATGAATTTTTAATTAACATTCCATATATTATTTTTTTGCTTGATTTACAGGATGACTATACGAGATGTGAATTCAAAGTATAATTTTTTTAATATTTTAAAAATATAACTTACATATTTAAAAATTATATAAAAATAATATAATATTTTAAAATATTTAGAAAGTATTCAACAAAAATTCTAATAAAAACATCTTTAATTATCAAATAACAAAACAAACACATCAAATAAATTAACTATTTTTGAAGGGATCCACACCCTAAAAAGGACATGAGATCTAGGAAGTACGACAGTAAACTAACACACAAGTTCAAAATATTTTTTCTCGTTGAAATGGGACTGTTTTGGTAAAACCAAAAAATAAAAACGTAGTATAATGATCCTTTTATCAATACTCCATATGTTTATTTTTTGGCTTGATTTGCAGTATGATGGTCGACTATACAAATATCAAATTAATTAATTTAATGGATTCGAACTATAAAATCTTTTAATATTTTAAAAATAAAATTTACATATTTAGAAATTATATAAAAAAATAATTTACAATTTAAAATATTTAAAAAGTATCCAACAAAATTATAATTAAAAATATTTTTAATTATAAAATAAGACAAACAAATTAAAATAATTTAACTAATTTTTTTAAACAGGGTGTGTCACATCCACACCATAAAAAGACAAATAGAATGAGATTCAGGGAGTACGACATTAAGCAAATCACAAGTTCAAAATATTCTTTCTCCGTCCAGTAAATTATATTAAAATTTAATGTTCATTTTTAGCTTAGAAAATTTAAAAATAATTTATTATTTCATATATGATACATTGAATTTGTTATATTCTAAAAATGATATAACAAAATTGACATTCTAATTTATTATTTTTCAAGAAGTGTGTTTAGTCAATACTAGACAAAGAATGTATTTTATTTTTTCTTGAATTTGATGTCCAATAAATGAACTACACCATAATAATACTCTATGTTTCTCAATTTATTTGATATAATTTGATTTAACACGAAATTTATAAAATGACAGTACGAGTATGGTTTTTTACGAGCTGACGTGTGCAAGATCCAAATTGATTGTTGTTCAGTTTTATTCCGTCGATGTTGAAGGTCAAATACCGCACCGGCAGGCGCGGGTTTTTTTATTTTCCTAATTAGTGGTCAATTCTACAACATTATCAAATTCTCTTTTGCCCCTATATAATATATGGTCATTCAAGCACATGTTTATTTTCTATATTTCATAAAACTAAATCATGTGTTACTTTGGTCGGAATTTTTTAATTTAGAAAATTACTATAGAACTTAGTGTTAGGTTAATAATTATGTCCAAGTTCATACAATGTGTTCCACTAATTTTTACTATTAATATATGCTCTTGACCTTAATTCTTGTTGACTCCTTCTAGTTGACTTTTTAGGACAAAATTTTAATTAGTTTATGATAATCAGCATGAAGTCCATATATCGTCGTTTAACGTGTCTTCTTTCAATTGACCATGCAATTTAAGAATTTAAATATAATATTTGAATTTTCATGATTATAAACGTCTAGAGGTGTTAGGTGTGTGTGTGGCATGTCAAAATTAGTATCCCACTCTTTTAAGATGTGATCGTGTTGGAGTAAACACGATCAAATAAATAATCAAGTTCGCGGGGGTGAGGGTGTAATTTAACTATCGTTAGTTTAATAAATATCTTGATAAATCACGCCAAGTTTAGGGGTATTTATACCTTTTCTAAACTAGTTAAAAGCAAAACCAAAATCTATAAAAGAAGATTAAGGTGTTACTTAACACTTAACAGTATAGACGTGCATATCATTGCCAATCATTTGCTCGAGGAGGGATGTTTTTGTTGTATTTGCCTTGAAAATTATGTTCATTACATCAAAATTGATTTAGCATCAATTAATTAATTGCAATAACTTAATTATTGCTAAATATATTTTTTTTAGAGGCAATTAAACTCTTTGTATATGTTTCTAGCTAAAACTTATAGCGACATTTTATTAATATGCATATTTGTTACCGTTAATTACCGATCTGTCTTTTTGTTTTTTGTTGTAGTGATAGTATAGTGATCTTAGATATTCTTGGGTAAAGAAACAGTTCAAAGTAAATCTATAACTTCTTACATATATAATATTGATAAATTAATGAAGAGTTAATTTACCGCAGAAACTTTATTACTACTTGATTACTCTAGCTCCATGTAGAGAGAAAGTTGACCTAGCCGTTATAACGTATACTCCCCATTTTAATTTGTTTATTCTATTTTAACTTGATACGAAATTTAAAAAAAATTAAAATTACATCAAATGTCTTAAAATATCTTTTAATGTTATGGTTTTAAGCATGTTATTTAGAAAGTTTAAACTAAAAAGTTGCTACAAAAGGAAATTAAAGAGACATTCATTTTTAACTGAACTCAAAGAAAAATAGGACAAACAAATTGAAACTAATTGATAAGTTAAGTAATTAAGCAACCAAGTTTTCTTTACTACAATTAACTTGTCTTTTCACGACGATATATTTACGTAAACCATCCATGAATAATTAAGAATCTAACTTTCCTCTCGACGTAAACAATCACAAAGACATATTATAAATTGCATGCATACGTACATGAACTAAGCAACTTCATCATATATATATATATATACCATGCATGCAACGAAGACAAATAATTAAAAAATTACACTCCTTGTATATATTTATATATTTATAGAAATGACAGACAAATACACTTGACAAAATAAACCACCTTGCATTGATCAATGATCAGTAGTTAATTATATATATATATATATTCTGACCATCATCAATGAAACCTTCTTAAGACCATCATATATGTAAATCCCTCTTAAAGTAAAAACAACAACTTATTCATTCACTAATAAGACATTACTGATGTAGAACTGCCCATCATTGCTGGCTTATATATATACTATATACTGTATACTATATATCTTTTTTCCGGCAAAAAGAATTACTATAAGAAAACCGGAAACAATTACTACGTACCATATTGGACAAAACTCAGCTAGCATATATATATATACCAATATGCTGCTGGTTAATTAACCAATTAGTACTAGTATATATTGAGTTTTAGTTAAAAGTTCCAGAGGAAGGATTGTTGAGAATAATGTTCATCGCCGCCATTGCCAGTATCATCATCGTCATAATTAGGAGTTGCTCTTTGCGGAAAATGTGGTGGTGAGTAGAGATTACTTGATAAATTAATATCGAGTACTCCTCCTCCTCCTGCTCCTGCTCCTATTCCTGCTCCGGAATAATATGGATCACAAAAAAATTCAGTTGGAGGCCCACTTGCATTATATGGATAATTTTCCATCATATCATTATAAAAAGCCCAGTCCATTTCAGCAACAGTACTAGTGCCCATTTGGACCACCATAGGTGGTGGTACATCACAACTACTAGTTGTTGATAGCGAAATCTCATCTTTTTCCATATTTATCACGTGTGAATTAATATTTCCAATATTGCCCTCATGACCATCACGCTGTATCTCCTGTACCACTGACGGCGAGTAATCATTCGCAAATCTAGCTGCTACAGCCTGTATCTCCGCGGGGGAAAGCCTTTGTCCACCGGATATATCCGGCGGACTATCAGGGAAATTAAACTTAGCTTTCGGCCCGCGGAGGCAGAACTGTGCAGCATCAAAAGCCCTTGCGGCTTTCTCAGCAGAATCGTATGACCCCAACCAAATCCTGTCGCGGCTGTTAGGCAATCTGACTTCAGAAACCCATTTCCCCCATTTTCTCAACCGAACTCCTTTGAACTTTGGCTGATCATGAGTAGGGTTGGGTTCCATGGATGATTTAGAGGTAGTAATAGATTACTATTATGATGAGAGTGGACACTGCAGATGAAAGAGATAATTATAATCGAAAAGACCATTGGAGGGAAAATTATTAAAAACAGTTTAGATATTTATATGTATGTATTGATGAAGGAATGAAAATGGTAGTATAGGGGGCCGGTGACATTTGTCAAAATTGGTCCAAAGTCTTGAAGCGTGTGGACATTTAAAATTCAAGCTACAAGTCCAAATGAGCGTAAAGAGAGTGTGCATATGTCTTTCATGGCTCGGTGGGAGAAACCAAATTTGTGAGCTATTTAATGACGTCACATCTTGATTTGGCCAATTAATATTTATTTCCCCTTTATTAACCATTAATAATTAACCTTCTCCTAAATTAAAGAAAAAAGTATTGATAATATCCTTAATAGGGGTGTTCACGGTTTGGATAAAAACCAATTCAAATCGAAAAATCGAACCAAACCGATAAAAGAAAATCGATTTTATTTGGGTTTGGTTTGGTTGGGTTTTAGATTTTTGAAAACCGATAGTATTTGGTTTGGTTATGGTTTTATTCGAAAAAATCGAAGAAATAACCGAACCGAACCAATGAATTATATACATATGTTTAATAAATATACATACTTAATATATTGTTTTTATAAACAATTTTAAAGATCTTATACATATTTTCATTAAAATTTTCTTTTATAATTTACTTATTGAAAGCAAATATGCCCAAGATGAAATATTTATCTTATTGATTTCATGTATATGAGTGTCTATGACAATTCTTTGTAGGACTGAAAATGTTATTGTCTCTTCCTTCTAGGCCAATATAGTGAATTTTAAAGCTTTATTAATAGTAAATTTAGTGATCAAAAGTTCAATAATTTAAGTCATTCTAACTATTTTTCGTTTTGAATTGATTGTTGTCACTTTTTTAACATTTTGAATGAATTGTTTCTTTTATTTTTGTGTATGGTTAATAACCGAACCAAACCAAACCGAAACCGATAACCACCAAATCGATAAATGTATATTATATTTGGTTTGGTTTGGTTTTGATAATTTTAAAACTGATTAAGTTGGTTTGATTTTGGTTTTGACGAATAACCGATCCAAACCGACCCGTGAACACCCCTAATCCTTAAACTCTGTTTGAGTTTCTTAGTTTTATCTTTGAACTAGTGGCAGTCTTAAAAACATCCAAATACTTGATTGATTAAACTTAAATATACCCTCAATCCTGTAACACGAGTGAAATACATCCCTAAATAATTCTCGCCAAATTTAGGAGTGTTTTCAATACTTCTCTCAACTTTTTATTAAGAGTCCTGCTACAAGAGTTTAAAACTACTTACTAAGTCATGTGGCACATCAAGGGTGTATATAAGTTTAGTTAGTGAAGTGGAGCTAAGGTTATCATAGTTCCAAGATGAAACTAATAATTTGCACCAAGTTTAAGGTATTTTCAATACCTCTCCATTTTAAATTATAAACTAATTAGCCAGGCTATCAGTAGGGGATCGATGTTATATTTATCCTCTGACCCTTAATTACCTAAAAATAATTTTAAGTTGAGAATTATGTTAATTCTATCCTAGCATAGAATAGATATATAACAAATTTATGTGGTAAAAAGGTTGTTGAAAACATATGATTTCTTTGGCATGGTTATTTTATCAAACAGGAAGAAAAAGATTTTTAATCCCTATAATCGATAATTAGCGAGATAAAATATTTTAAAATCATTTTTTACTATACGAAAAAAGTAAAAGGGATGTTATGCTTGAAATTAAAACACGGTAAAATTTACATATTACATCGGATGATTTACATCAAAGCAATTAACGTAAGATATGTCTTTGTTTCATATACTTCTATCACTTCTTAAATATAGCTAAGTATTAATGCATATTCTTAATTCATTAAATCAGTTGACTATAGTAAATTGAATTAATTTGTATAAACATTTGATGTGAATAAGTTTGTTTCTCAACGATTGAAAAGTAAAAGTAAGAATACATATACCAATATAATTAGTGCAAGTATGTGCCTTTTGTATACATGTTTATACTTAACTACTATGGTCAAGTGATGTGTACGGTAAGCTGACCTTCCGTCCAAGATAAGTCATTCTATTTGGAAAAGAATTACTCAAGCATGACATAAATTTTATTACACTTTGTAAAAAATATAGTCATTAAACAATTTCGTCAAAATGTAATTCCCATATTATATTTACACATTATGTTTCAATATAAAATCGTTCACGAACCAAATTATATGACACAGAAAAATAATTTTGAAATATAATGCGTATGATTTCTTGATACTATATTTGGTTGGGTATTTTTTCCCCTATATAAGAAGACTTGAAATTAGTTTTATTATAATTTTGATGTTATTTCTATGCCACATTTAAAGTGGGATGACAATCTCTGATCAATTGGCTATGTCACTAAATAATGTTGTACGATTTACTCATCGTATCATGATTTCAGCATTAAAAACAAAATATAATCTCATATTTTTTAAAGATATCTCACATGATATATTAAGACCACAAGCAGAGATAGAGTCAGAAACTCAGAACATTATGATTCAATATAATTCATTCACGAACCAAACGACTATGACGAAGAAAAATAATCCTCAAATATAATGCATATGATTTCTTGATACTTGGTTGGGGTTTTTTTTTTTCGGTTTATAAGAAGACTTGAAATTTGTTTTACTATAATTTTAATGTTATTTCTATGCTACATTCAATGTGGGATGACAATATCTGATCAATTGGCTATGTCACTAAATAATGTCGTACGATTTACTCCTCGTCCCACATTTCTTTAAAGAAGATATCCCACATGACATATTAAGACCACAAGTAAAGATGGAGTCAGAAACTCAAAATATTAAATTTGGGGATTCTAAATTCTAACCATTTAAATTATTGAGTTTTAAATTAATAATTTTATATATTAAATAATTTTTTTAAAAATTATAATATTTAAATCAAAATTATGGAATTTAATCAAACCCATAAATTATTTTCTAAATATTATCTATTTAAGACTACTATTTTAAAAATAATAATTATAACCACCACATAGAAATTAAAAAATAAAAGAGAGAGAGAGAGAGAGAGAGAGAGAGAGGGACAGAGAGAGAAGAAGAAGAAGAAGAAGATGAAGGGAAAGGTAAGATGAGCTTTCGCAGCAAGCACACATAATGACCGAATTAGTTTTTCACTTTGACATAGGATTCGGCTCCCCTCCGTTATTTATTTCCTTTATTTTGTCAAGTGCACGTCTAGATGAGAGACATATGTCTTATTTAAAGTTTAAAGGTCAATATTATATTATATTAACAAACATCATAATCATAGTTAAGTCAACTAATTTTAGAAAACTACTCTTCAAATTTGATAAGAATTACAATATATTTCATATAAAATTTTGATATTTATTAATATCACTAATTTCATCTTATATATATATAAGAACAAATTAATGATATTAATAAATATCAAATTTTGTATTCTTACTAAATTTACAGAGTAATTTTCTGAAATTAGTTGACTTAACTATGGTTATGATAGCTGTTAATAGGCGGAATGACTTGGAAGACCCTTGTACTTGACTCTATTTGTCACCTGGACCCTTCTACTCACGATTTTGTCAATTGACCACTTAAAGTTATTAAAACACAATATTTTAAACCCCCTCTGATCACGTGTGTCTCCCAATCACATTGATGTGGATAACACCTCACTAGCCACATCAGAAATATATCGCCACATCATTATTTTTTATTACAAATAATATTTTTTAAAAAGAAATCTCAAACTAATCTCCAAAATCCTTTCTTTCTATTTTTTCTTCTTTTCCCATATTTTTCATCTATTTTGTTACTAATTATTCATTTTTTTCTTTTCTAGTGAATTTTTTACGTTGAAGAGGAATTAGAGATAAGCAAAACTTTGTTATGTTTTTTATTATAAATTTTGCTATTTTAATGGTAGTGAGAAATAAAGTGACTAAAATGGAGGATGAGAGAAAAAATAGAAGGAGACCAAAAATGGGTCATTAAAGAAAACTCTTCAAAAATGCTCTCAATAAAATTATCTTATATTTAGAAAGAATCTCAAACATATGTTTTTCAAAAACTCATCTAAAATCCGCATCTATTTCACAATTTAGAACCTCTTTTCCCCCTCTCTTTTACCCAAATCTAAATAAATATCTTTTTCCCAATGATTATAGAACTCTCAAATGATATGTAGCATATGAGAAGAGAAAGAGGAAGAATTGTGTGTAAGAGTATTGGAAGAGATTGAAGAAGATGTGTGTGGTGATGGTGGGGTTTGGGTGAAATTATGAGGAGGAAGAAGAAGAAAGTACAGCATATTGGGAATGAGATTTTTTTTCAATTGTTATATTTTTCTTTTAATTCATTTTTTTTAAAAAAATAAATAAATAATTGTCTTCACTTGCTTTTAAATGGGTGTAACCACTCTCTTGATCTGATTCAGCAAAAAAAACATCGCATAAGCTTAGTCAACGGTCAGATGAGTTTAAAATAGTATGTTTTAATAATTTTAAGTGTTCAGTTGGCAAAGTCGTGAGTAGAAGGGTCCAGGTGACAAATGGAACCTAGTACAAGGGTCTTCCAGATTATTCTGCCGTTGTTAATATAATATAATCTTGACATTTAAATTGTAAATAAGACATATATCTCTCATATATACGTGCATTTGACGAAATGAAGGAAAAGGATAATAGAGGGGAGCCAGATCCTAGCAAGATATAGTTGGCTAATTGATAAATAGAATGAGTTTATTAATTGTATTTTTCCTTCATCTAATACATGATATAAAATATTTATGTAAGATAGTGAGAGTAAATAACTTTACCACTATTAATTATCACATTACGAGGGTCGGAGCTAATATGCTATTTACACGGATTTGTTCGAACTCATAAATTTTAACTCAAATTTTCTATTTT